AAAACTACGAAGCCAAAACTCTAACCTTAAACCCTACCTATGAACATCAAGAGATCCTGCCCTGAAATTCGTGCCCCCACTCCCCTTAAGCACCCAAAGGTAAACCCTGAGCTCCAAACTGCAATACCTCGAACCGTAAACCCTAAGCCCCAAACCACCCTAAATCCTAATCGCTAAACCCCACTTTTTAACACCTACCCTCCATAGACCGCAATCCCTAAACCCTAATCCGTTATCCAAATAAAAACTCAGGCCTACATCTCATTCTTCAACCCTATAAGGGCATTATAATACGAACCCCTCAACAGGGAACCCCAAGAATGCAGCAGGAACATGATTAACAATAGGAACACAAGGACCCTGGTAGGTATATGCCTATATAGCCCTTTTTGCATCAAACTTTCGATGAATGCCGCCCGGAAGTAGCCCATATAACCCTGAAGCCTAAACCCTAAACAAAAACAAGTTAAGTTTCTAAAGTGAGGAAACCCTATTACTGTATACCCATAATGGGGTAACTTAAGCCCCAAACCCTCAACCGTCAGTCCTGAACCATATGTGATTTTTGGTTCCTTAGCAGCGACCCTAAACCCTAAACCCTTATCCCTAAACCCTAAACCCTAACTAGTCATGCAGGCCCAGGTTCCGCTGGAAAGCGTCCGTTGGCCTGGCAACGTTTCGTCAGCGTGGCCGCCTTCTCCTCAAATCTTGATACTAGAATTAAGGTTTAGGGATAAAGGTTTAAGGTTTAGGGATAAGGGTTTAGGGTTGAAGGATAAGGGTTTAGGGTTTAGGGATTAGGATTTAGGGCGTAGTGTGGCTTGAGTTTGGTGAGTTCAGGATTTACGGAGTTTAGGGTTGAGTCTAGTGCTGCTCAGGTATACTACCCAATAATCCAAAATCAACATGGCAAACGGGATGGAAGTGGGATCGTGTGGGTCATAGAGTGGTTTGTATGAGGTAAGAAGAGGATTCTGGTAACCCCAACCCCCCCACAGTATATCCCCGTTATACTCATACGATAATGATCGAGTCCTAAGATTGGGTTTGAGGTCACCGAATTCCAGTTCTTGAATATCATGAGTATCTAGTTCAACGCTTGGAGAGTTCAGGGTTAAGGGTTCACAGCTTGAGGTACAGGGTTTATAGGGTTTAGTGCATAGGGCCTAGAGCACCTGCTTGGAACTTGTCTTTGTCTGAATCTGTTGCTGATACGACATACCCTGCATGAGCCTAGATACCTTATACCTACAAACCAGATAGTAATCCTACTCACCCCCAGTATCAGCGTTCCCGCTGACCCTCCAAGTAGTTTCATAGAGTCTAAGGCTGGAATAGAGACAGGGTTCTAGGGTTTACCTTAAAGTAACCCCAAACCCCGAAACCTGTATCTCCTGCAGGAGGAGGTCCGCCCTTTGCTTCTGCTCACCCTCGTTCACACCTGGAGCTTGTGAATGATGATAATGGGGCCTTCTTATCCCAGCCCCTTTAACCAAGACCTTATAGAAGGCAAATGCTAGCCATAGGGTCCTGACTGAAGGGATTGGGGATATCTGAAATCTCTGATGATCGCTTCCAGGGAAGATTTCATGCCAGGGGTAGGGGTATTGAATGTTATGGGAGCGGACGAGAGGTTAGGGCCCTCAGCCTACTGGTTTAGCCCTACGTCTCAGGGTCCCTGTCAGACTATCAGGGACTATTTTTTATTGTGGGTGTAGGGGGAACCTATTTTTTGGAAATTACCATGTTACAGGTATGCAAGGAACATGCTAATTGCGTAGGGCTGACATGACGATTTCTGTGTCTGGTGGTTCTCTGGGGGGCTACAAATTTATGGTCATAGAGTAAAGTCGGGAACTGGGGTACACCCTGCTGGAGTTATAGATGGGTTACAACGGGAAAACGCTACAAATTATTCAGGTTTCTGCATGGAGGGCTCCTAGTTTCACGCCCACCTGCCTGATAGGACATCCCACTTGATCAATTGTTTCTCCACACGCAACCACAGCGGGCACAAATAAGAGCGACCCCGCCACCTGAGGGCGCCCAGAGTAGGGGCTGTGTATCTTGAAAAGAGCTTTGAATTATACCATTGCATAGTACCAAAAGGGTTACCCGGAGAAAGAATATCGGTAGTTGTTTGTTCAGGCTTCTGAGTTCGATCCAGGCATTTAGATGTTGTATTGCAGGTTCGAACTGTCGCGGTATGAAATATATGCCTAGCAGCTTACCCTAGAAGCCCAGTTACCTACATATTGGGTTCCTGTCCTTAAGTCCCTACATAATTTTATGCTATCTGTAACCCAAGGACCTACTATATGGGTACCTGGGCTTCTAGGGTTATTTCAACTTTCGACATCGGCACCTCCGCCATGAGGGGTAGAAGTTGCTGCGTGCGGCAGCTGAAAGTAGCAAGCCAACACCCAGAGGCGTGAAGTAATTGTGAGACAAGTGAAACCCGTGAACTCCTGGCTTGGGTTATTACTTGCATAACGAATGATGTTGTTCTTACTAGTCGACTCTTATTAACATTATTGCTATTATTACCTAGTATTACCATTACTACTGTTACTTCACGGCTTTTACTATTCTACATATTCCTATTATGAAATTTATAGTAACTGTGAGATAAGGGAAACCCGTGTACTCCTGGCTTGGGCGAATTTTCCAGCAGGACGGAAAGCGCCTGTGCTGACGCATCGCCCAAATTGTTCTTGTACAGCTCCAGCACTTCCACTAACCTGGTTGTTTTGTCTCGCCATAAACTTGATTTCTCATATCAGCGGCGTTTGTTGATCTTCCATACCACTGGATTGTCTTTGAGACCGAAGTAGATATCAACTTGACTACTGTTACTGGAATGGGTACTTCTTCGATCATAAAATACCTACCTGGCAATGACCCAGAAGCACAGAGCCCGACAGAAGCGCTTCCACCAGTGATCGCACTGCACGGTCTCCAAGTTCGTGATTGGCCAGGCTGAGCTGCGCTAGGTACCTTGCTTCAAGTAGGCACATAATCAAACAAAACAATGGAATGTTAGGAAACTAGGTTCATGCAGGATTAAAGGGGGAATATAAAGGGACATCTAAGGTTAAGGGTTTTGGGATATTACCAGAATTTCCCCTTCCACTTGGCTTATACGTACTGCCTCAATAATGGAAAATGAAATGGATCAGGACATGGAAATGAACTCAAATTTTTGGGGATGATACAGGAATTCAGGGTGCGGGGTCTGAGCAGGCATATTGCGGCACATCGCGAGACACCAGTCTTATCCATAATAGATTTTTTTGTGGCAGCAATAGGGTACCTTATCCATGCAAAGTTGGGAGGTCCAGCATGCGGGTTAAGGTTTGCGCTTCAAGTCGGTTATAACCATCATCCGAAGGATTGTTGCTAGTAATTATGGGGATCATATTCAACTACAATAGGGCTCCAGTACCCACTATCAAAGGCCTCAAAAGGTGGGGTAAAAGAGGGTGGGGCATAGGAAATAAGCCCCAACATAATGGAGTGTATACTAGTGACCCTTCAGCCCACCTATCTTCCTCCCACCCTTTGAGCCCCCTGAGACTAATCATGATAGAGCTGCAGGGGAGCTGGCGGCGGCAACTCCAGACGTGCCCGGAAACCTGTAGTCTTCTTGCACCTAAAATAGAAGATAATATGTTCAATAATTCGTCTATATTCCCTAGTGTCCATTTCATTTTCCATTGTCTTTTCCATTTGATTCTCCATCATAACCCTATAATCCCATACTATAAAAAATAATCCCATACTATAATATTACAATCCCATACTATAATAACATAATTGAAAAGTACTTCCTAAGGAGACGTGCCCTGAAACGTGGCATCTCATCCTTCAGCTCCACAAACTTTCGCACGGCGTCCATGTCTGTGACTTTTCCTTACTGGGTGGGGGTTAGTAGGGAGTAAGTGTATATATATATATACATATGTATATCTATCTATATATATATATATGTACATATATAGGTTTAGGGTTAAGTAGGGAATAAGGGATTATAGTAGCTAGGAATTAAACAAGGATTATACATTTCCCTTATTCGCTGCTAATCACCAGTAAGTCTCGACCGGCACCGTCGGCATTTTCCGCCGTGCACCACAAGCAACCATTTTCTGGATTGTGCGGGTCCTTCCACACGTCAAAGGACAGCATTGGCACGTGTCTGGGCTCGGAGAACTGGAAACATCTGCATGCGGCGAGCTGCCTAAAACCTATGGCTAAAAGAGGGTAAAGTGCTGGTGACTCCTGCCCCAGAAATCACATCACCTTCAGTCCTTCTACTGTTCTTGCGGAAACTGTAGGGAGCATGTGGTTAGATTGGCAGCTTTCTGCGCGCCACTGAAGCTACTGACAATTAGGGCAGCTCTGGAAGCTGAATTCTCATGCCAGCAGCCATCCTACCCACCGCGGGAGATATCCTATTCGTAGGCATACACTTTCAGCAGCCAATGACATTCCCTTGGTCCTAAAAAGATCCTTCATGAACTAGTTAAGACAAGAGCTAAGGCTGGACACCTGAGGGCTGTTGCAGCGCAGCCCTTTTGAGCCAAAGCTCTCGGGACTTCGGTGTCTAGGGGTGTCATGACTTTTAGGATTTGCGAAGACCTGGGGTCAGATAATCTATTATAAACTCCTAGTAAGCCCATTAAAGTCCGAACCCCATGATAAGTAGGTTACCTACCCATTGTTATCTCCACGGTTCCGCAAAGTAGCAAGACCATATCTTCATAGCATTTGACTTACCCAGGTCTGTGGTTTTTAAAGGCATCGCAAGCCACGGATTCTACAGGTGCTGGGGCAAGTAATTGCGAGGGAGACGTCATCGGAACCCCTAAGTTACACACCTTGACACGGAAGTTCCGTAGCTGTGTTTAGGACTTGGAACTAAGGCTATCCACATAGTCTCTAGCGAGCCCCACTACCTCCCCTTTGCCAATGACACAGCTGCCATGGCAAAGACAAGCTGCAGCCGAGTTGGACAAAATGATGCCAAAGATGAAGAGGATCAAAATCACCTCAGCTCAGATGCCCTGGGGCTAACCCAATAGTGGAGAATCCAATGGGCAATAATTTGAGCATATAATCCCCCTTGAGTAGATAGAATATGGTTTTGGGTGTATTATAATAAGACCCCCATATACCCCATATTCTATCTACTTAAGGGGGACTATACTAGTTGACATAAAGTAGGGTGGGCTTGGGGCTTGGGGCTTGGAATGTGCAAGTGGAAGCTGATCGAAAGACAGTGTGGAAGATGCCCACCATCGCTTTTGTTTTCTGTTGACAGATTTCGCCCGAAGAGCAGAACCCAATAATCACGTTATTGCAGCTTCTGTAGGCAAATAGTGCAGAGATGACAAGTTAGATCACCCTGTACACCTTAAAGCAACACGCGACATTTATTGGTGGGTGTATTAATCGGTTTGCTCCCTCCTAACAGCACCCCCCTCCCACCCACCCAGCTACAAGTAGCACACTATTTTCACTATGACGTTAGGAAGGTAGCTACCTCCTGCGGCCCACCGTTGACCTCGGAAATCAGCTGCATGATACTTTCCCAAAATCGGGGGACCCCAATACAGACCCTAAAATCCTACAATCCGTATTATAGAGACCCCAAAAAAGGTACCTCTATTTTTGGGAAACACTATATTTGAATGGAGCCTGCTAACTTGAGTTGGAAACTAAGTTATATCACGAGGTTAAAGCACCACCGAGGCTTAACCAATCCCCAAGTCCCTCTTGCCGGGTTGCTGTTAAGGAACTTAAGAAACTACCTCAGTAAGGAAATCCTGTTATGTACTACATACATTGGAAAACGCATTCTTCATCGCCGGGGTCGTTCATTAAGCACAGGAATTACCTTCCAAAACTTTGCAAGGTTGAAACCATGGGCGCGCAGTATCCATTAACCCTCGGATCCTCATATATTCGGGGCCCACGCTTCTAACCGTAGAAACTGTGATGCCAAATTCATGTAACGAGCATTCCTAAGAAACATGTATTGGGCGATCCTTGTGAGTTTAACCCATACAATGGTTGTTTCCCCTTAAATCGGCGGATCCCAACAAAGACTCCAACATACTTTCTCCTAATTATGGGGACCCCGAAACAAAGGTAGCGGGATTTGGGAAAGCCCCATACGCATTGAGGGCCCCTTTCTGAATTCTATGCTTGAGCTAGTCCATGCTGTACCTGGGCTGCCCACGACCAAGAATGCCCACATCAGATCAATGAAGGAATTGGCGATGGAAAAAATCCTCGGCAAACGACCAGGGACCTTCTACTTGAACCCTAAACCCCAAACCCTAAAGCCCAAATCTTGAACATGCCAGCCTTGCACCAAATGTATCCAAATCTCAGAGCTCCAGCTCTGTTTAGAAAGGGCAAACGAGGGGTGGCTCCTGATATGGGGATTTCCAAAAATTAGAGGTACTTTTTTGGGTTTCCCTATAATAAGGACTAGTATATTGGGGTCTATATTGGGGTACCCTAATTTGGGGAAACTACCATATTGAACCTCAACCCTACTTGTCAGCAGGGCCTATAACATCTTGTCCTTGCAGCTAGAGGTATGCTGGTGTGCAGTCGCGTACATAATCTCTTGCAAGTCCTTTGAACTAAGGAGCCCGACATGAATTCTTTCTGGAAATGAGGGAGGGTAGCTCGTGGAATAATGATACGAACACAAACATGCTAGTCCTGCCGCAAACGTGCGGACTGGCATTACAAATGAACATATTCACGAATGCATTTAATTGGACCACCTCAACTTTAGATTCATAAAGGTGCATGAAGTACACATGCATTCTGAAACGTGCATAATTGAACCAGACCCAAAAGATTGAGCCCGCTGCATCGTTCGCAGCCTTCGTAGTGCCTCCACTGATTTGCAGCTGCACGTGCCAATACAACGTGGAAGGATACTCGGGAGGGAGGCGAAACTGCACCCCTAGTTGGGGTGTCCTGGTGCTGAGGATCTTGCTAATTATCGTTGGCCTGCCTAACTTCGAAAATACGACCCAACAATGAACACAGGCAACAACAAGTGGGAGGTCAGAGCTTATGGCTCATCATCACTTACATTGAACTGACGAAGAAGACAGGCCTGATAGTAGCCCCCCAAATCCTGAACACCCTAAGGCCCACAAACAAATAACAGCATGAACCCCGCAAGCACGAGCCTTCACAGCTTTCACCAACTTCACCTTCAAACTTACAGCATTTTGTATGGCTTAGAGACTGAAGTGTAGGGTAGATGGGCTTTGAGATAGGGGGGTTAGGGTGCTGGGGGTAGGTCTTGGGTTAGGGGATTTGGGGTTAATCGGCATAGGCTTGGGATTGAGGGATTTCGGGTTGAGGCCTGAGAGGCTTAGCTTTGGGGTTGAGGGCCCGCTTTTTTAGGGTTAAGGCTAAGGGATTTGGGGGTGAGGCCTGAGGGGCTTAGGTTTAGGGTTGAGGAATTTGGGGTTGAGGGGCTTAGGTTATTTGTTTTTGTTCATTGGAGCTTTTTTCTCGGAATGCTTCAGGAGGAGCAGAGCTTTGGGGCTAAGGAATTTCGGGTTGAGGCCTGCGCGGCTTAGGTTTGGGGGTCAAGGGATTTAGGGTTGGGGGGGGGCTGGGGCTTCTGTTTGCTCTAGGTTGCCTAGAACTTGCCCACTTCCTGCAGCAGTTGATTATTAGGTTGAACGTTCCAGGTAGGGTCTCAAACATTTGTCCCTTTTGGGGTAGATCTCGTGCGGGACTTGCATTGTGGATGCCGCGTGGTAGAAGCCTCCGAAGTCTTGAAATTCATTCATCCGGGGATGTGAGTTTACGAAGAACATTTGTTTGGGCCCGAGAGTCTGTAAACACTACCGTACCTATTTAGACCGCGGGACTAGTGAAGTGGGCAGGAGTTGTAAGCTTGTAAACGAGCATTGCGTGAGTACTCCACGTGAGAACTAAGCTTGTTTCTGACGCTTTCGCATGGCAAGCAGGCTTACTGGAAGCTACATTTTTATCCATCCTCATCCTCGTAGTCTGATCCCTGAAACCTAAACCCTGCCGTCTGATACCTTTAACCTACTGTCAAGCCCAGGGCGTCATGACCGAACCCCCGCCCTGACGCCCTGAATTCTGAACCCTAAGCCCAAGCCTACTTCTCGCCTCCAGCCGTTCAGACCTTTAACTGGGAAATCGCTAAGTGGTAGAAGATGCGGAAAAGAATAAACCTAGTAAAGAATTCGTTGGGATGCAGGCCTGAGTTTTCTGTAATGGTAGTAACAACACGTTGCTTATAATCATAGTAATGTTAGTAGTTAGCACTACTAATTTGAATGTAAATGATAACAATGTGGTAATGTGGTCCCAAAGTAGGATATCCCTATCTCTTCCTTCAACCTAGTTACTTAGGCCACACCCGCGAACTCTAGATCTCTGATCTGAGGCTTTTGCGACGCGCGCTAGACGGAAGACACCTCGTCGGTGAACATCGCTTCAGGGCTTCTTAGGCTTGAGGATTGAGGGCTTAGGCAGTACAGTAGGTTTCAGGGATTGGGACCTAGGGCTTAGGGATTAGGTTTGAGGGTCTAGGAGTTAGGGTTTAGGGTGTAGGGATTAGGGTTTGAGGATGAGGATGTCTGATGCTACCCCCTTGATCTTGGACTGAACGATCTGACTCAGCCAAGTCCATGGCTTGCTGACCCATCCGGTACTTGTGGGTGCTGAGAATATTTGCTGAAAACTCCAAAGCCAGGGCCCAAGATTTAAACCAACCCAGAAAGTCTTCCGTATGGTAGCTCAGTTGTAGTTGTACCATAAGGAACATAGGCTTGACTTTGCAGTTTGCCGAAACTGTGCCTCAACACCATGCCTCAACTGCCAGGGATTCAGGCGACGTCCCGAAGAGCGCAAGTAACTTGGGGCAGCACGAATGATGCGAAGAAACCTGGAGTGGCAGCCGTGGAAGTTTTATGCTTTTGGCAGAGCGAGTTGTGTGTATTGCGAAAACATGCATGCTACTGCAATCAAGTAACGACAGCTTTGCCCCAACTGGAAATAAAAGTCCCACAATGGATTCCACGACGAGGAAGCTGTCGAAGAGATTCCATGCCTGACCACTTGCTGCAGCGCCAGACTAAAAGTGCTTGTGCCAGGGGGGGTATAATAGTTTCGAGTACTTCCGGGAAAACAGCACCCTTAGTTTTGGAAGCGTTCCCATTTCAAAGAGGCTTTGGATTTTAACAAAACGCCCACACAATGCAGTCTCCTGTTCTAGAAGCCCTGTAGACATTGTCCCAACCTCAAAACCATAAAGCCCTTGTATGTCATGTGCGTACGGATCAATGTATCCGCACTGTCTGTCTGTCTGTCTGTCTGTCTGTCTGTCTCTGTCTGTCTGTCTCTGTCTGTCTGTCTGTCTGTCTGTCTATCTTTTTGTGCGCATGCCTGCATGAACGTACGCGTGTATGCATGTGCGTATGGATATATGCATGAATGCGTGTATGTATGCATGTACGCATGATTTCATGTCTGTCTGCATGTATGCCTGTATGCACGCATGCATGGAAGCAGGTATGCATGTACGTACATGATGTGTGTAGGTGTTTGTTTGCGTGAACGAACCATAACCCTACATGTCCGTACTACGGTAACTTAATTGAAGTTCCTTAACAGGAACCCACGCTACCCGCAGCAAGTCCGAAGCGCCTGCTCCTCACCGGTAAAGAAGCTGATCTTCTCAGCCAGCAGGCGTAACAGGATTTCAATGGAGAACCTGGAGTGTCCCGATACACAGGCACCCTGTACAGGAGCCATGGCGATTACTTGCTTATAGGGTTCAGCGTTTCTAGGCATATATATATATATATCGAGGGATTCCAGAAGGATCGTACAGCACAGGTTGGAGGTTTGGGCCACTTTACTTTTTATGTTTAACATGACCTGCTGTGGGATCCCATGTCTGAGAAAATTGCCGACCATGCACCCAGCTGGAGTCCCTGGTAAGGAATCGATGGTCCATGTGAGCCATAGTCTGAACTCCTAGCACCCCCTCTTCATAACCCCTGTAGAACCCTATATAACCCTCTTTGAGGAGTTTAGACTACAGCTCATGAATGTGGTTTGCAACTCTACTGATAGAAGGTCGGATTTCAGTTACGGCCTGCCCTAAACCCCCACAACCCTAAACCCTGACACCCAACATGTACAACCACATGATCTATAGTCCAAACTCCTGAAAGGTTGGTCATATAGCGGATTATGTAGGGGAGTGCTGTAGGGCTGAATAAGGGGGATACTAGGAGTCTAGACTATAGCTCACATAGTCTCACAGTACCAATATTCTCCCTGACAGGCAGCGTCTCACTCCAAGAAGGGCAGTCAGGCAGCCACACATTTACAGTCCCCCTTAAGTAGATAGAATATGGGGTATACGGGGATCTTATTATCCCCAAACCATATTCTATCTACTAAGGGGGGCTATAGGGTTTGGAGTAGAGGGTGCGGGGCGGAGGTGTGCACCCTGCAGTCAAAGCAGCCGAGCTTATCCTGAGCGAGGCACGAGCACAAGAAGCTATTGAGCCAAGAAGCCACACAGCAAAAGTTATGTCCCACGCGCTATCTTCATCTTGCTTTTGGCGACCTTCTATAGGCCCGAAAGCATTCCTGCCCAGGGGGCATGAGAAGGATCACAGCAAAGATCAACGTGTGTGGTTGCTCGCAGACAGTCTCAGGCATACTAGGCCAACACATAAGCAAAAATCCTTCCTAATTCTAGACTCAGGTCACCTCAGGCTTACTCTCGCAAGCATCCTACTATGTGTCCAGGTGGCCGCCTGATTTTCCAGTCGGCATTGACGCCGAGGTACATCGTGTTTGCGATGATGGCTAGCATGCAGAATGCCTGGCACAGCCAACAGCACAAAAGACGAGCACACCTGGCATTGCAACTGCTCATGACACGGACGAACACAAGTCTTCTTTTCGGTCGGCCGGGCACCGGTCCAGCCGTACTCTGCCACGTGACTAGTCAGCAAGTCCACAACGTCAGGGTAGCGGCAGGCTAGGTCTATTGCCGTTTCGCCGTCACCGTTCGTGTTGACCTGCGAGCCTTTGCTTAAAAGAAGCTCGACTATGTCACGATGGCCATGCATAGCCGCGACCATCAAGGCAGTGTAGCCAAAACGACCGCGGCTGTTCCTGACTGCGATCCACAGGCATAAGCCACAAACTACCAGGACGCCGAAACCTAAACGCAAGTCTTCCGCACAGTCACAACACAGAAGCCCAACATCAACAACTTTCAAAGTCTGCTTGCCACCAAGCGGTAAACATGTTCTGATAGTTTGATTCTAGACGATCCTCAAAAAAGTCCGATTCTGGACGATCCCCAAAAAAGTCCCTCAGTACTCTGGAAATCCCTAAGCACTGTAGTATACATATCCATTGAACATCATCTCCATGCAATCACATTAGGGCCCAAATGTCTTGACATGAAAAGATCCATGCGAGGCTCGGATTTGCAGAGCTTTCCAAGAGCAGCTGTATCAGCTCCTCGCACGAAGGTTTAGGATTTCGGGTTTAGGGTTTAGGGTTTGACGGCGGCGGGAGAGGGCTCAGAATTCCAAATCCACTAAGCCCTTCGTTCCGATCACTTGTTCTTTCCGATGACTTGATCCTGAACCCTATTTTCTAAACTCTACAACCCTTAGGTAATCATAAGCAGGCGTCCGGAAGATCCTAAGGTCCTATGTCCTACATCCAACCCTAGACCCCAATTCCGAAACCTAAAAACCCAGCACCCCTAAACCTACAAGATAGCACATAAGGACGATCTGCCCGGTTTTGGGTCCTCGTTCCCGAAGCGGGCGGCTAAGCGCAGGGGCGTTAAATCGCCCTCTACGGGGCGCTCGACATCCTGGAACATTTTGTGGCTCAGGGGGCACCTCCTAGAAGAGTGGTTATAATATTTCCGTATATGGAAAATATTTTTTTGAAGCTCCAAATTGCCAGCTGACATGGCATGGGGATCTCAAGGTTGGAAATCATCACTAATGAGCTGAGGATCAGGTCTGGGTAGGTTTGCAGCACTTACCAAAAAACGTGTGAGCTGTGCCGCTAAACTGTTCTCATACTGCTTCGAACGGTTTCCGAACGCTGCAGTAAAAGAGTTCTGAAAGTGGCCCAGCAGCGGCCCTTGCAGCTATCAACCACTTCACAGCCTTGATAGGACCACTGCGCAACGCGATCTGCATGGCCTTGCGCTCTTGGTGCACGGGGCAGTCGCAGCACCTCCGATGTGCTTCGAACGATGAAAAGCTCAGCGTGTACACATAGTTAGCGCTTCTGTTCACATGTGCTGGGCTGTTGGCCACAATCCTGGCCAGGTGAGAACATAACGCGCAAAGTCTCACTGCTCGCCACTTCATAAGACCAGTTCGCAAGTACAAAAACGACAGCGTCGTAACTTATGAGGCAAAACCCTGGTAGCAACCGGCAGGCTCCTGCACTGTTTCCAAAGCACTTCCAATAATACTACCTAGCGTGTAACACCACGCATATTTTCGATGCATCACACCAAAACCATCCAAAATCCCAATCTTCCCAACCTAGACTTCTACAGTTAAAGCGACTTCCCTGAACCTTTGAACCCAATGCCGTCAAACAGCAAACCCCGATGTTTAAACTGCGAGGCTTTTCCTAAATCCTAACCCCTAAACCTCGAACCCTGGCCACTAAACCACAAATCTCAAGCCTTACAAGCATGCCTTCACCCCTACCCACGTAAGCCCTAGACTCAGACTCTAAATATATGAAACAATCCGACCAATCCCTAAAGCCTCAACCCTGAAACCCTAACTCCCAAGCCTCAACCCTCAACCCTAATCCCTGAAATCTATATAATATATAACCTATTATAGTAGTTTCCATTTTCTATCCCTATATGACCCTAATATATCCCTACCTTCCAACCCCGCAAACCCTAAACCCTAAATTGCAGTTTCCATGTTATTTTCCACTATCCCTATATAAACCCTACATGATACCCCTAAATAGCCCTATATAACCCTAAATCACTAAACCCTAAATCCCTAAACCTTGAACCCTAAACCCTAAACCCTAAATCCCAAAACCCTAAACTGATTGAGCCCGGGGCCGTCGAGCAGGGCGAACGCGCCGAAGCAGGCAGGCGAGGCAGCTCAGGTTAAAACCCCTATGGCGGGCGACAGAGCTCCAGTCCCGCAGGCAGCTGCGGGCTGCGCGGTACGCCCGGCAGGCCGCTGGCGAGTAACCCGTCAGGTCGCCCTAGAATCTGAGTGAGCCCGGGGCCGTCGAGCAGGGCGAACGCGCCGAGCAGGTCTGGAGCCCAAACCCCTCCGGCGGGCGACAGAGCTCCAGTCCCGCAGGCAGCTGCGGGCTGCGCGGTACGCCCGGCAGGCCGCTGGCGAGTAACCCGTCAGGTCGCCCTAGAATAAGGATGCGCTTCTGAGGGCCCCCAAGGCCCCCCTGAGGCCCCTCTGCCAGCGAGTGTCGGGACGCTGGGCAGCTGCATGGGCTCGATAACTGGGGGCCTCGAGCCAAACCCAAAGCCAAACCTTCTGCTCGTCGGTCTGGCAGGTGCAACTGGTTCACGCCTTGATAG